TGCCGGCTCCCGCCCCGGCACAGAGCTGGGTCTGGGCACTCGGCAGGCAGGATTCTCTGTACCAGGGTGGGTTTGGGCGGCGTGAAGTGCCACCAGGGCCTTGTCTCGATCGGAGCAAGGAGAGTTGATCTTGGAGCCTCTTCCTGGGCTTAATCCAGTTATCACCTTCCTTCCCTCGGGCCCAGGCGCTGCTCTAGCAGACGTTTATTCCCGTTGGTTCCCGAGGCCATGAGCCCCGGCTGGAGATGGAGAGGGGGGTGATTAGGGGAGGTCTGAGGAGGGACCCTGAACTCCCCTGTGAGGGGCCTGTTTGGGGACACTCCCACCTGCGGCTGTGCCCAGTGTGTCCTGGCACAGTGACAGGAGCCTGGGTCTGTATTTGCTCACTGTGGGGCCCGGTGGGACACGGCCCCGATGGACAAGACCTGTTTCCTCCTGCCTTGCCCATCAAATGGGGCTAATCCCATGTAAAGCAGCGGGATGGGCCAGGGAAGGAGGATGGGAGCGGTGTAAGCCCCGGGCAGGAGATAAGCGCAGAGTGATTCCAGCCTTCTGGCTGTCTGCAGTGGAATATTGGTCCATTTTCTGTGTTTGTACACCCCTGTACATCTACCTGGGTGGGAGAGAGGCGGGTGTGCAGGATGCAGCAGTTCCACCAGAAGCCCCGGTGTCCAAACGCACGTTGCTGTGCGTCCTCCTTTGGAATTGAAAGCAGGAAAGTGTCCCCAAAACGGGGCAGGGGCTCCCGTTTGCACACAGGGCGAGGACCACAGGGGAGTCTCATGCTGGGGGGCTGCGGTGGGGCAGGTTTGGGAACGTTTCCATTCTCTCTGATGGATTTTGGAGTCTTAAACGTCAAGCGGTAGGTGAGAGCTGGTCGTGCAAGGACGGGGGGAGCAGAAGGAGCTGCAGAGGGAGGAGGGAATCTCCTGGTGCCAGGGCTGAGCACACGGCGATCTCTGGAATGGCTCCGTGGAACTCCCGGGCGCAGCCGATCAAAACAAAAGTGGGAACAGGTAAAGCACATCCCGTCTCCGGCGCAGCCCTGGATCTGCCCTGTCTGGGAGTTGCCTCACGTGGAAGGAATTGTTTGTGTGTTTGCCCTGCGCCATGGGAACTCGGCTGGATCGGGGCAGGTCGGGAGCTGCGGATCCCAGCGGGTGACGCAGGTTTGGGAGCCGGGAACAGAGAGGGAACTCTCCCCTCCCCGTGCCGTGGGCTCCCATCCCGGGCAGTGGTGTGGTTAATTCCCGGGTGTATTTCCTCCTTCCCAGGCAGGAGCAGAGCGAGGAGCTGCAGGGACACGAGGGAGGGAAGGTTGGGAGCTGGGCACACGGATTCCCTCACCCCTTGTGTCCTGTCTCAGGCCTCAGAAGGGCCGAGCCACGGAGCACCACGGCTGCGTCGGGAAGGGCTGGAGAGGGGCTGCAGCAGATGAGCAGAGCAGGGTGGGAAGCATGGAAGGAGGAGCGAGGAACAAGGGGCTGGAGGAAGAGGAGGAAATCAGGGAGACTTTGCAGGGCCTTGACCCAAGAAAAGGAGATGCAGGCTCGGAGAAGTGGAAGGTGGCAGCAGTCGCAGTTGCACGCGTCCCAAGGGAGGGAACTGGGAATTAAAGGAAATCCCCAGAAAGGGAGATGAGGGAAACAGGAGCAGCTCCCCTGTATGAGTGCAGGGAAAGCCTGGAGATGAGCACTCCAGAGGTGGCTGAGCAGAGCAGGACTGGGAAAATGCTCTGAAAGGGGAATGCTAGGATGGGAAAAATAGGTGGAATTTCTGTGGGAGAGGGAAGGGGGAGTGTGCAGTGACAGAGGCACTGGGGGAGGAAGGAGCAGGGCAGGTCCAGAGGAGCGGGAGAGGAGGAGTTGCTGGGCTGGAAGTGGCAGAGGGAAAGGAATGGGAGCCCGTATATGTCACGTGGAAGTGAGATGAGCTGGGGACTCCTTGGAGCAGGGAATTTTGTGAGTGCCCTTTGTGGATGGGGACAATGTGGCCAGAGAGACAAAGGACTTGGGGAGAAGGTGCAGAGAAAGGAGGGGTTGGTAGACCAGAGGTGGGCAGCTTGCAGGGCTGGGAAGGGGGGTGGCTGGGGAGGAACATGTGTGTTTGGGAGAGAATCAGTGGGAACGTGGCCTGAATTGGTGTCATCTGTGGGAATTCGGGGTGGATTTTCCTTGAGTTTCTCCTGGGCACCCTGGGGACTGCAGAGCAGAGATTCTGGCACGCTGGGCTGGGCTTCTGCCCTGGCCTCTGTGGCAGGGCTGGGGGGCTCTGAGGGGGTCTTGCCATACCGTGGGGATCAGGGAGACATTCCCAGAGCTGTGTCGTGGCTCTGGGAGTCGGGGTGGGCTCGGCAGCCTCCTGGTGAGTTGTGGAGTTATTCCAGGCACAAAACAGGGATGCATTTGCATTGGATCTCGCTTGGGTGTCACTAATGACAGCACTTGGGACTTTCCCCCAGCTCAGGTGGCCTGTCCCACGAGGAGCTGGCTCTGGCACCTCTGCAGGGATCACCCCCATGGGAAGCACTGGAGCACCTGGATCTTGGGGTGGAAGGGCTGAGGCAGAGCAGGGCCGCCAGGGGAGGGTGGAGATCTCCGGAGGGAGGAATATCAGGGAACACCCCCTTCTGCTTGGCAGGCTCTGTTTGAGCCCGAGGTGTGGCTGTGCCTCCATGGCGGAGCGTTCAAAGGGCTGGGAGCAAATTGCTCCTGCTAAAGCAATCGGCCGTGCTGTCGGCCCTGAACTTGCGACAGCCCATCCCTGGAATTGCTGTCGGCCCCTGTCGCAGGGCTGGGCTCTGTGGGGTGCTGGGCTGTTCCCCAAACCCTGTGTAGGGGCTGGTGGGTGCTTTCCCCAAAGCCCAGTGGGTGCAGAGCAGGGCTGGAAAGCTGCAGCTCTCCAGGGAGCTCTGTCCCTGCCACGGGAAACAGCTTTCCCTGGTGTTACTGGAGTTGCTGCCAGGTGAAACCAGCACATTCCCGGCTGGTCAGAGCATCATCCCTGCATTTCCTCCCCATCCCAAGGGCAGTGAAACCTTGGGGTGGGAAGTTGAGCTCGGGTCCTGCGGAGGACGGACCGTGAGTCAGCCGGGGTGGCTGGGACTGGACCCAGCTCACTGTAACACATCCTTGTCATTAAATGTGCCTTTTTGATGTTGGGCCGCAGCTTTCCCGGCCTTCAGCCACATTTGGTCAGAACCAGAGTGTTCCCTGTGTCCACCCCGAAGGAAAAGCTTGGGGAGGCAGAGAAAGGTGGAAGGAGGAAGGCAGGGAGACACTGGGCTCTGTTCAGACCTGGGCAGAGGCAGCCAGGGGAGGGTGGGTGACAAGCAGGAACTGGTGGGATGTGATTGATGTGGGATGGGCTCATGGCTGTTTGGGGGTTTGGGGCAGGTAGGGGCCTCCTGCTCCCCTTTCCAGAACAGTTTGGTTTTCCTGTTGTCCGTGGCACTCCCTCCTGTGTCCCTGTCATCAGCCAAGGGTGGCAAGTTCCCAAGGGCACCCTCAGGCACTTGGGGCTGCCCAGTGAAAAGCCAGCTGTCCTTCACAGAACCATGGCATCCCAGGATGGTTTGGGTTGGAAGGGTGTCCAGTTTCACCCCCTTACTTCCTAGTGGACACCTTCCACTATCCCAGGTTGCTCCAAGCCCCGTCCAGCCTGGCCTTAGACACTTGCAGGGATGGGGCAGCCACAGCTTCTCTGGGCAACCTGTGCCAGGGCCTCAGCACCCTCACAGGGAAGAATTTCCTCCCAATATCCCACCTAACCCTGCCCTCTGGCAGTTCAAATCCGTTCCCCCCTGTCCTGGCACTACAGTTCTTGATGAATCCAGAGCTGCAAAAGCCATGTCCGGTTGGGGGAATGGTGTTTTCCATGGGCCTCTCCTGTCTCCTACCCTCTAGGGAAGGGAATGAGACTCCTGGATGTCTTTTCCTCTTGTGATCTCCACCCCTGTGTTAAGTCCTGGAGCTTCCGCTCAGCCTCTGCACCTCAGGGAGCCGGCGCTTGCTGGTGCTGGGATTTGAGGGGAAGCTGCAGGAGGGAATTTGTGGGGTCCCTCCACTCCTTCGGGGCTCAGGGTGGTTTCTTGGGGGGTCACAGAAGGGGTAGGGACTGGGGAGCTCGCTGGCCTCTCCCTGGGTGTTCACACATGGCTCTGTCCCTTCTCTTGCCATAGTAATTCCTGCTGTTATTTTTTTTTCCAGGTGAGCTGTGGCGTGCCAGACCTCAAGTTTTAATGGTTTTTATGTAGCTTTTTTTTTTTTTTTTTAAAAAAAAAACCACAAATGGATGAATGAAGAAGGATTTTATTGAAGGAAGGGGAGGAAAAAATGAAGCGGTTCGGAACAAACTGAGATCTTCCCCCGCACCGCCCGGGCCATGGGTGAGACAGACCTGCTCAGCACCACTGCCACCCTTGGGTGTCTGCTGGGGTTGTAAAGGCGCTCCCTGAACGCCCCCTTCCAGGTCCCCCCAGTTCACCTGCTGGGAAATGGTCGCTGCCCAGAGGATTTAATGCCATTCCTGTTCGTTCCCAACCACCGAGTGGATACCGAGCCCGTGGAAGGACCTGGGGCTTCAGGAGAAAGGAGCAAGTAGGAAAACCCACAGTCTGCCAGACCTTCCCCTCCGCCCCCCTCAAAAGAAAGGATTTACAGCTCAACCTTGCACCAGCTGTTCCTCGGCTTTAACAGACAAGAGAGAAATAAATAAAATTAAACGGCCACCGCCAGCCAGCCCCGGATCCCGGTGAAATCAGGGAGAGTGTTTCCGTGACCCCTCCAGCGAGGGGAGGAGGAGGAGGAGGCACGGCAGCCACGGCAGCCGAGAGGAAGCCGGGCAGATTGCTTGGAGACCACCCCCTCCTCCCGTGCAGCACCGGGGGCTGCGGCACCGCAGAGGAGGCGGATTAAAAAGGAGAAGTGGCTTCCCTGAGGCTCCCGGAGTGGCTTTTTCACAAGGAGTTTGCTGATCCCGTGCTCTTCCCGGGGTGCTGGCCGGGTGGGAAGCGCCGAGCGAGCCTGGGGAATTCCCTCCCCTGGGAACCTTGGCTGCCTGTTTCCTGACGGAGAGCGAGGCTCACGAGGGCTCCCGGCGTTCCCGCTCCGACGGCTGTTTTAAACTCAAATCCCGCTGCTCTGCTCTGAATTTTTGATGGTTTTAAACCTCCTCCCCTGCGCCCGCGAGCTCTTGCAGGGCAGGGCGTAGGGTGGGCTCCTCTCCTGGGCCACCAGCTCCAGAGACTTGTCCGGATTATCCGTCCAGGTCGGAGCTTGGCCTGGGAGCGGGCGCGGAGGCCGGGAAGGGGTCGGCCCTTGTCCCCCTCCCCTTCTCGTCCTGCTCTGACTCCCGTGGGGCCTGGGCTATGCTGCGGGGCGGACCCCCCACCACAGCTCCAACATGCCAGCAGCCTCTGGAAAGAGATTCAAACCCAGCAAGTACGTCCCGGTCTCCGCTGCTGCCATCTTCCTAGTGGGAGCCACCACCCTCTTCTTCGCCTTCACGTGAGTCCCGGCGGCTCGGCCAGAGCAGGGAGGGCTGGAGGGGGCGACAGGGGACGTGGGGAAATAGGGAGAGGGGTCGGGACTTCCTCCCAGAGGGAAGGAGGATGTCGTGGAGTGGCCTGGTGGCCCTTGGAGCAGCAGGACCCGTGTCAGTCAGTTTTCCCCAGCTGGGGGTCCTGGTGAGGCACCGTGTCACCACTCAGCTCCAGATCAGCGGGGCTGGACGCTGGTTTGTGACCTGTGGGTGGAAAACACCCGGATCACTTTCCCTTTTGTGGCCAGGCAGGGTGGATTGGTTGGGCCGGGGCAGGATCCGTGTTATTTTTGGAGCTTTGTAATCGATTTGTGAACCACAAAGGAGAGTTCAGGGAGGAGAACTCTGCCCCCTGCACGGATCACTGGCTGTCGGTGTCAGCCCTGCCCTGGGCAAACAAGGGTTCAGTGTCCCTGGAGAGGGCCCGAGGGGGTGGCCAGTGGGTCACCAGGGCCGTGGGGGTCCGCCAGGGTGGGAGATGGTACTGGCTGCTGGGGAGGTGTGGG